CAAAATTCACAAAACTTAGTATGTTCTTATGTTTATGATGTTTACTATGGACTGGAATTTTTGAACACAGTTTGAAATGAGCCTTTTAACAACTACGAGGTACTCTTAGGCGCAAATCATGAGTAAAACAATAACAAATCGCTGCAAAATATTTTAAAATTCACAAAAAGTTTTGGGCATTTCTGATTTGAACTATCTGTTTTGAAAGGGTTTACATAGTAGGAGCAATAATATTCTAAAACCCTATGTTGCTTTGGGGTACCATAAGTCTAAAGCGGAATTATAATTTCTTATATTTGTGGCAAATATTTGAAGCTATGTCAATTCTAAAATGTCAGGCAGCTATCTGAGTAGATAGTTCCAATACAGTACTCATTCAGTCTCGGCTCCAATGACTTCAGCAATTGAATCAATCATAAGCAGGCACTGAAGGGGCAGGGCTTCATGCCACACCACCCCACTCCACTGCGCTCCTTTCAGTCGCCAGCTGCTGAGCAGCAATCAAAGTTAATTTGCCCGATGCACCGCAAACACACGAGCACAGTATATGTGCAATATATGTATATGTTACATATGTGTGTGTGTGTGTGTGTATATAGTGCACAATACATACAGACATGCACTCAAATAAAACAAAACCTTGTGCTGCGTTGCGTTGAGAGGGGTGGGCTGGGAGGGGGGGACGCGACGCAAGTCTGCTGCGTAGACTCATTGTCTGGCCTGTTCAAGACAGAGCGTTGCCAAATGGCAACTTGTGTGAGTACAAGTATGTGGGGTTTTGTTGGCGATTACTGCACGACAATGTGCCAACGCTATTTGCCTTTTTTTCGGTGTCACCGACAACGAGCGCAAAGATGACGACTGAGACGAGGTCGGTAGGTAGAGGAGGAAAAGGCGAAGGAGGCGATACTTCTTGCCGAGCTGCCAGGCTAAAAATATCAACAAATAGCGGCAACAACAATTGACGATAGCAAATAAGCACAAGTCGTCTGCATCTTTTGTTGTCTCGCTAAAGTCTGCTCACAGAGTCTGTGTGTATGTCTCTCTCTACATACATATATATATAATATATATATATATATGTGTGTGTGTCTTATCAACAACTGCAACAAATAATGACTAACACCAAAATGTCAATAATGTACTGCGTTTTTTTTTCTGTCTTAGCCAACACAACTTGCCTGCCAATTGAGTATTTTTCGTTGATAAACCAAAAAATCGCACGTACCTACAATTTTTTTCAGCTTGCCAACATTCTCTGTCCGCACTTTGTACGCCGTTTGTCTCATGAATAAACAACAACAATAACAAGTAACTAAATTCGAAGCAAGCAGTCATGTATCGCCAAGTTTTGTTGCTTGTTGTCTCGCCAAATAAAATAATTACGTATACGACACGTGCGCTTTTAATTACACAGTCGGCACAGTCCCCTAAATGCACACGCTTCCCACTCTCCTACTCCCTATGCCACTTCAATGTTTCGGAATTTCGCATTTTGAGCAACACACAACACAAACATGAAATCAGAACTCAGAAATTCCGCCTCTATTGTATCAAAGGGAAAGCATTTGAAATATTTGAGAGAGACATCCCATGCGGATATGTGGAAAACAAATAAAAATGATTTTCTCTGCACAATGCAATTATTTTTCTAACGCTTCCGTTATTTTCGCGGTTAGACAGCAGACACCAACAAAAAAGGATGAAAAGATTTATTTAAACAAATAACAAGAGAAACACTATTGGGAATGGACAAATGGACAATGTATATTTTAGAAATTATCTTATTTATGTATGAAATTTATTGAGCAAACCTAAAAAGAAGAAAATCTATTGAAATTCTATATGATTTTTGCTCGAGTATAAATAACAATAGAGAAAGACTTCATAAAAGTTTTAAGAGTTAATGTATTAACTATGTTAATTTGATGGCAAGTCGCACAACAAGCAGTAGCTAGAATTTGTTGGAATCGAACTATCGGTTTCCCATATCCTTCAAAAGAAAATGATTTCAAATTATTCAGTTTCATACAAAGCTGCAACTTTGAAATAAAGTTAGACTTTTCAGAAAGAAGAGGACAAACGTAAGCCAAAATTCTTGATAATCCCAACAGCTATACTAAACTTATTGTACATTGACTGTCTTTAGATGTTTTTATAATGGTATTTAAATTGGTCCACAAAATTGTGAACGCTCTTTTGTTGTAAATCATCAAAAATCAAATGAAAAACAGGTTTGTTTTTGTGAAAAACTTAGTGAAATGTTTAAAATATTTCCATTAGTCCAAATTATGTAATAATTAGAAGCTTCAATTTCTCTAGAAACAGTCCATATTCACTTAAGCTGGGATACTTCTATCGAATATTCCTCAACAGTGGCCGAGAACGGCTTTTATTTTAAACTTTTGCCGAGGTGGCTGCTGAGGGAATGCCTTGAAGTGGCTTTTAATATGGTCGCTACCATATACCTATATATATATATATATATATATATATATATATATATATATATATATATATATATAGTATATTTATTTATTTGCTGCCACATTTTAAGCATAAAATATATTTATAAATGCAAGCCAAACAGTCGCATTCACGTAGGCCGAGGCAGGCAAATGGCAGCAAAGACGCAGAAATGGCAGCCCGCTTGCCAGTCGACCTTGGCACGTCTGCCACGTCAGGGCCGGTAGCTAAGGGCTGCTGATTTATTAAGCATACGTCATGTGGCACCGTCGCCAATAAGCGTAATGAAACATTTGCACCTTTTACTCTCACGGTGTTTCGTTTATTAAATTATCAACATAAACAAATAATTGTCTGCCCATACACACACATACATACATATATATGTACATATATATGTACATACATATATACAATATTAACAAACATGTATGCATTGTACTTTTTTTGTTGCTACTTGTATTGTGTGCGAAAGCAAATACAGACAGTGCCACTTTTTTTTACTTTTTTATGAGTTGAGTGTTATGGCTTTCGACTGTAACAGTGACGGTGGTGCGGAGGGCGTGCCTGGTAACCGCAGGCGGGCAACGAAACCACAGGTAGGTCGCCAGACAAAGTGACAACCTCCCCAACAGCCACCCCCGCCCGCCAGTTGCGCGCCATGCGTGCCAGACAATGTTAATTAGCACTTCATGATAAGTTGTCTCAATTGTAGTTGTTGTCGTGGTTGTTTGGGTGGTTATGGTGGTGCTGGTACTGGTGCTGGTACTGGTGGCGATGACGATGGCGTCGGCGTATTTGCAAAGCCAAAGGCAAACAAAAAATTGTGACAAACGATGAACGAGCGCGAGCTTAGAAATCAGCAGACACACATAATTAAATGACACAACTTCGATAAAAAGTTCCACTTACTAAATATGTACATATGTATATATTTACATACATACATACATATGTATACATATAACAATAAAAACCGTGATAAACAATGTGATTGGCTGACCGCAGAGTGAAAAAACAACAATACCAATGACATTAACAAAAACAAGCCTAATAAAAACAATAATAATACCGGGCTGTCTGTTTCTATTTATAAGTGTGGAAACAAAAACAAACCTGACGCGTATTTGTAGACATGCCTAGCCGAAAATGAAGAAGAATGTCACATGTGATTCATATAATTAAAAATAAAATAGGAGTAAAAAATTAATAAATAAAAGCAGACAAAAAGCTGCATACATAAATTTAATTAACGTGCGGTTTGTTGGTCAGCCAAGCCGTCGGCGGTTTCTAGCTGCGACGACTTGACACTTTAGTTGTTTTTCCCCTTTTTTGGACTTTGCACGGCGGCTCAGAAGAGAGTGTATAACACACAACAACAACAAAAAAACAAAGCAAAGTGCATTCATTTCTTTTTCGCCCTACGCTAAATAAAGCAAAACGAGCTAAGAAGGTATCTTCGTTTGTGGCGAAACTAGGTACCCTTTGCTTTGGCCCACAACAGCCATACATACTTATTATCTAAGCGGATCTATTATCTATGCGGATCATAAATATGTATATACATATATATACATTTATATGTTCCTAAACAATATATTTTACAATGCTTCTTTATTTGTGTTACAAAGTTGCATACGAAAAACAATATACCCCTACGCCTTTCAGTGAAGGGGATGATAATGCAAAAACAAAAGAGTGTAATAAATCTACTGTCTTTTGGTGCTCTTGCATATTGCAGGCCTGCCTATTGGTTCTCCTGAGTCAATGAGACAGTGAGAAAGACCGCCACACATAGTCGTTGCTGTTGCATTTCCGCAAACTGGTACACCGTGCTAGAGAGAGAGATATTGAGAGAGGGAACGAGCGAGCTTGCGCTCTCGCACGTATAAAATTATGCTGCAGCTTTCTTCTGTTAATGTTACTGTTGCGCACAGATGTTAACATTGCACAAGAAAGAAGGAATAGGCCAAATAAATACAACAATAGCAATTGCTTTTATAAACAAATTCAGTTTGTCGACAATTATTCGAGAAAAACTCTTTTATTTTCTGCACCAGGTTCAATAATTAATTAAATTTACAATATTAATACTTTGACTACCTATTTTACATTTAGAATTACAATGATGTATGACAACAAGCACTTATACATGATATGTACATATGTATATAATACATATCACATTTAATTTTAAACTCATCAGGAAAAATCCAGTGGTGTTATCCTTTGGGTACAGTGTATAACAATCGTCACGTGCACGCGCGTTTACCGGCTTACAGTAACAGCTGAGATAGTGCACCGTTAACAGAGTCAACAGCTGCTGCTGTTAAACTGTGACGCATTTAACATAGAAGTATGTTCAATACATTTCAAAGCGCATGTCTGCTTGCTTGCGCTCTCACCATTCCATCTCCGTTTCACACATACACACACACACACACACCATTTACTCAGTTAAAATGGCAGCCTGCGAGATGCCGCTCAAGTCAGTTGTCAGTTGGTCGACAGTCAGCGAAGCGAGCGCACTGCCCGAGCTGCGAGAAGTAAAGAGAATTGCTGAGCGTCGCGTCACCCGATTTTGTGTATTAACTACAAACAGTAACCAATAAATTTAAACAATAAACTAAATTATAATCAAACTACTCTAAAAACAGTAACAAAAATACAATTTCTCCGAAAACATAATAGCCATAACAGTAAAGAAACAAACTATAATTTGCATATGCGTGTATCTGTATGAGTGTCGCTACCGCCTGTACGCGAGTGTGTGTTAGTGTGATTGTTTGCGCTTTAGAATAACGCAACCAGAAAACGTAGCTGAAAAGAAAATCAATTCTGGAAAAAGTTTGTAAATTTCTAACAAGCAGGCAGCAATATACATATGTAAAGGTTATAACGTTAAATGCGAACAACAACGTCGATAATACAATAAAGCCTCTTTGGGAAGGGCAGCGCACACAGCAACCAAAATATCAACAGCAACGACAAAAAATTGACTGGCAAGACAGACAGCCAGCCGCTTACAACAACAAAGCTGTCAACGGTGTTGCCGACGCAGCATCGTATCGTCGTTACGTCATTGCCGACGCTGACGTCGACGTCGCGCAGTAGCAGCAGCGCGATCCACAACCAACGACTCGGTTGTTGTTGTTGTGGCTTGGCATACTTCAACGTCGTACTCTGTGTGCTGTAAATCAGGCAATTGTTTTGCACTTTTCGCAACAACAACTACAACAACAAAAAGCAGCAAGAACAACAACAGTGAAAAAAGCGACGACTACGAATGGCGAAGGCGACGACCACCGATAATTATTAAAATAAAACGAAATAGTAGGCGAGAGACAGACAAAACAAAAGCGAGCCAGCCAGTTAGTGTCGCGACTCGTGAGAGAGGTTTGACTACACTGAGAGCAAAACGAGAGCGCGAGAGCAGCGCTGAAAAGACGAAAGCTTCGCTGTGTGCCTTCGTTCCATTCCCATTGCGTTCCGTACGCTCTCTTCCACCAGTCGACTGCTTAGCAGGCAGGCAAGCAGGCCACCAATTCTTTGGCTCAGTGTAAATTTGTGTGCGTTTCAGTTCGTTTCGTTGGACGAGTTAGACAAACAAGAAATTCGTTTCGATGGTTGGTGCTTTTTAACCTTTTTTTGGAAACGTTCAAACGCAAATGATATGCATAGATAACGCAAATCTTTAGCAGCCAACTGCGACAACAACGCGTCAAGCTTGATAAATAACCAAGTCTGATGTAAATATAAACAGTTGCACCGATACAAACATACACAGTGTGTATGTATTTGTAGGTACTACTCGTATGTATAAAAAATCTTCACACATAGCAAGCGTTCCTGTACTCAAAGCATTCCTACACGCAAAACAAAAACAAAATACGTCAGCAGCAATACAAACAAAAACAACAGCAACAACGAGACACAATAAACATCACGAAATCGCAAGAAATTTCTAACATAATTAACAAACAAAAACAACAACAGCAAATAGCGCCGCATAACCTCAGAAATAGTACATACAATACGTTTATATGTACGAACGTGCCGCGCAACACACACATACGAATGTACATATGAATAAATAATAACAAAATTAATTCAAGCCCAAATCAAAATAAATGTTTAGAAAAGTGTTAAGCTCAATAATTAAACAAAATTTAACAAACCAAGGCAACAAATTTATAATTTTAAGAATTAGGCAAAATTCAAATACGCACAGCCCATAGCGTAATTCGTAATCAAATTATACATAAATATACATATAAATATTTAAAAAAAAAAAAACAAAAACAAAAAAATACGTTGGCCAAATATATAAATAGTTTAAAATTTTAATAAAAAACGACGTCAACAAACGAAATCGGAAGTCAATCAGAGGTTTTTTTCTTCTGACAACTGCTGGCCAAGAGGAGAAAGCAACACATTTACTCGTACATAAAAACATAAATACCTATGTACATGTATGCACACACTTCCTACCTATATGCTGTATATTCTAAACTAAACTAATAATCAAAGGTGAGTGTTTAATCTTGCTTTAATTGTATCAATTTTTTGTCGTGATATAATGAATTATCCATGTCCAAGATGCATACATACAAGCCTACTTAACGGTCAATAATTATTCATATACATACATACATATGTATGTATGTTTGTGGATGAATGTGCAAAATTCTGCCATCAAAGCGCATTCCGTCCACTTCCTGTCAACACAACAAATCTGAATACTACTTATATATCCAGTCAAAATGTCCAATGCCCACATCAATGGCATAAATTTTCAAATCAGCGTGGTATTTACCCCACCCCCACCCCCCTACACATACATCCAAACGAATATATATACCGCAAATACATACATATGTACATATACATATGTATAAGTATGAATTTATATGCTATATGCTTTGAATATTTTGTGTCTTGCAAAAGGCGAGCGCGGCGCATAGAAAAAACATTTGTTTAAAACATTCTTTAATGCTTTTAAATCCCTTAATATTTTTTGTGGCTGTCATAAAAAATTTAGTAATAAATAACGCCGGCATATAAATATGTATTTATATCTATTGTGTATGGCCGCACAACATGCAAGCGTCTATAGTTTTTCTATACATTCGCCGGTTTATTTGACCATTTGGCGTGCAGACCGGCCTCTGTCCCTGATCCCTTTCCCAGGGATCCTCGCAGCCTGTAAATATGTCAACTATCATGACCATAGAACCATTTCATGGAGGGTATAATTATCTAGCAACCATTTGTTGTTCGTTGGTGCTCTATAAATAAATCGCCTATAGACGCCATTTGGCAATAACATATTTTAAATAAAGAAATTGCTTGCCAATTTAATAGCCACATTAATGATATTTAAATTCTTAAGCGGACACCCTGAATACCAGCTACCTTCTCTCTCGAAGACTATCAACAGTTGGCTTTAATATTTAAATAGACGTTAGTTAATTATGAGTTTAATGGTCCGCCCCCGAAGTGAACGCTCAGGTCGCCCCTCTAATTTGAAAACCTTGCGGCATTATTATTAATTGTTGTTGTTAGTGCAACGCTTCTCGGCCTGCACTGCGCAGCGAGCGTAAAACTAAAGCAATGTGCCCATTATATACCCTTCACTAGAAAGTGTAAGAGGTTATATTGTGTTTGATGTGATGTGTTTGTAAAACCCATAAAGAAACATTAGTTTTCACATATAATAGATGCATTTGTATATTTGTTTATTCAGCATGACGAGATAAGAAGAAGTTGTCTATTTATTATGATATTCAAATCATATTGAAAAGTATATACATGGCTAACTTCTTAGCTCGGTATTTTAACAACAAGAAACATCAGTTTTCACATATAATAGATGCATTTGTATATTTGTTTATTCAGCATGACGAGATAAGAAGAAGTTGTCTATTTATTATGATATTCAAATCATATTGAAAAGTATATACTTGGCTAACTTCTTAGCTCGGTATTTTAACAACGTTGCGTTGTAAATCATGGGTTAAATAAAATGTAGAAAGAAAGCCAACAACCGCGGAAGGCAATGGCAAGGCAATAGCATTAGAATAATAGAAAAGCCAAGAACCAAGCAAGAGTCGCAGTCAGAGTCGAAGTCTAGGCGGCACAAAAGACAACGTGCACTCTCTCTCTCTCTCTCTCAATTGCTTTACCTATGCCTCACTTGCTCAGAACTCAGGCCCGCTCTCACTCCCGCTCAATTGCTCACTGCTGTGGCCAAGAAAAAGAAGTAGTAGTAGAAGAAGAAGAGGGAGCAGAAACAGAATCAGAAAAAGTACGCAAATCACTTCCGTTCAATGAACCCATGCGTAAGTCAGCTGTATGTTATGCTACACACACACACACACATACACGCACACCCACCTTTGCATGCATAGATACCCATACACACGCACGCACACACACACGCATCCACACCACTCTCGAACTGCAAAGGTGTTGTTGTTGCTGCCGTTGTTGTCGTCGTCGCCTGATGTTGCTGTGCGTAGTGCGGCTTAATCACAGGGCTTTCGTCTTCGTTTGCCAAAGCTACCTGTCTGCTACATACAAACATACGAACATACAAACATGTGCACATATGCATACATATATACATACATACGTACATAAATACATACTTAGCACGGCCATACTTGCGACTGCCCCTATACAGGCGTAAATTGCTTGCAAAACCAAGCAAAACAAAATTATGGGAAATGTTTTACTGCTGTGTGCTTTGTCGACGTTACGCATACGCCGTGTTATCCTTTAAGCACTGTGCTGGCGCTCGATTCGAGTGTGTGAGTGCCTGTAGATACTCACAAGCAAACAACAACAACTTTTTTCTGTTGCAATTTGATTGTCACGTTCCTTGCCCCACCACGACCCGCCACAGCAGGTTGCACAAACAGTTCAGCCGAAGAGATAATAAAAATGAAAATTTTCAACAATTTATATTCATGTTTAATTTCGCAACAATTTTGTAGCTTCATGCTTCGGCGGGAGACACATTTAAATTTTTTACTACTTGGCGTTAAATCACTGAGGAAATTAGGCATGCAACAAATTTCGTTTAATGTTTGTACTATACAATAAAAATGAGCACGCAACCATTTCTAATGAAAACTTTTTGCAAAAATGCATCCTAAAGACGAATCTTTGATTAATTAATTTCATCAGAAAACACTACTATGGTCAACATCAAAAAAGAAATAACCAAAAATAAATAAGGGTGTCATGACAGCAGTTGACCAATAAATTAATCAAAAGCTAATTAAACAGCTGACTCGTCAGGTTGGCCAAAAAACAAAAAAGCGGACTCGCCCGCCACCGTCCATATCGCCAACGTCGTCGATTTCGCCAAGTTTGTTGTTGCAAAAACAACATCAAGGTCTGACAAAGTACGCCTTCTGCTCGTCTGGCTGTTTTTTTCGTTTTCTTTTTGTTGTTGTTGCTGTTGCTTGGTTGTTCCATCTCTCTTACAAAATGCTTATCAAGCTTATAGCAATTGCCCGGCGACGCCACAATTTTGGCTTCCAGCTTATCAATGAAACAAAATGAAGTTAAAATTAAAAACACAAGAAGCAGACTGTTCCCAATTCCCAAAGGTCAGACAGGTTCCCTTCAAAATGGAAGAAATATAGCTCATGCGCCATGTAGGCCCCCATATTGGAACAAACTGACATTGCAGTTTTTACCTCTCGCTTTTATTGGTTCCATAGAGCATTTCGCCTTTAAACAACCTTTTACTTTACAGAGCATTCTGAAATATATTCCATGTTTTACTTCAGCTCAGATTGCAATTAGAATCACAATTAAGAAAGTAACAAAAACAATACCGTTAAAATGTAATTGCTAAGCTTTTCCTACAACTTCTGAGCCATATGTCATATCGTTGTCTATTTACGCTTACGCCTTACAATATTCGTATACCTAAGGACTTAGTAAGTTTCTGTGATCAGATAGTCACATTCACCATAAAGTACAGACCTTACAGCTTATTTTATTCAATCAACAAACATTTTACTTTACTTCACAAGCCCGTTTTTGGTTTGCTGAAACATTTTGATGAACTTTTGTGCAAAAATATTTGTTTGTCTGTGTGACCATAGCACAATACTCCACCACTCATACATATTTACTCAATCACGTATTTATAGTCAAGCGCCAGCGGCCAACTTATTGACAAACAATTTACGATTAATCGTAAACGTTTCCATTGGAACTGACGGTAATAGAAAAAATTGCCAACAGGAACCAAACACACCCACACCCTCCCACAGTTTGGCAGCACGCTGTTATCGAACAACGGTCGTTGAGGGTGAGACCTGAGGTTCCACCTGTCCAGTATACGAGTATACTATAATTTTTATAGATATGTATGTGCGGACATAAAAATCGAAGGCCGGACCATGGGGCTGTGAACAAAAACACTGAAGACTGAGAGCAGAGCTGCTTATCTGCTAGAGCCCAGTCCATGAACCTAGACCAATATAAATATCAAATCAATCGCGCATACCCAATTCTAGTTAGTAAGTGTTCTTCCCTCCCGCTCCCACCACAATTCTCCGATAAGGGGCTCGCTATTGATGCCCAGACGCCTCTAACAAATCACGTGTCATTGTTCATGGCCGAAGCTGAGCGCACACTAGGCACGCATTGCAGCTTTAATTACATTTTATGGCCACGTTCCGATCATCACACACACAATGGCGACAATCAGCATACATCTATGAATATCTACATATATGTACATGTACAGACATATATGGTGTCTGGGTCAAAGTCTAGAAATCGTTTCGTTCGTTATTGTTTGATTTTCTATTGACTTTCGCCATTGTTATTATTGCTCTTGGCTAGCCTATTGTTTTGGCATAGTTGTTAATTCGAGACGTCCGTCTGCCCACTCGCAGACTGACCTGGAGAGCAAATGTGCCTCCGATATTCTAACCGGTACGGACCACTAGAAATCAGTTTTTTGCACACCTATTGATGGCGAAGCTGATTTTGATGTTGATGATGATGCGTTGCTTATGACTTCTTGTCTAGACCCATAAATAATGGCTTAGCTCCCAAACTGGTTGCATTATTCAAATGGCTTATCCGACGATGCCAACACGCGCTCTCGCCTAATATGCATAGGTTTGGGGATTTCGCCAGGCTGCTGAGCTTAAGTCAACAAGCCATCCGATTATAATGATGCTAATTTATTTTAAATTTATATTTCTTTTGCGTTATTCTATGCCTAATATCTAGGAACTCTGATGAAATTAATAAACTATGAGCTCGTTCGCAATTTCTGTGCTTCAAGGTTGTTTTTCTTTCTTCTAAATCAATCGACAGCTTTGCAACTCTTCCACAACAACATATTTTATCTTTCGAGGGAGGGAAATGGAAATTCCATCGTTCCGCAGTTGGAAATTTCAAATTTATAATGTAACTTTGTCTTGTATGGGTTTTAACTCTAATCTAGCACATGATTGTGTCTGTTTATGTGTTTGTGTGTGTGCGTGTCTTCG